CCGCTGGCCACGTAGCCACCAAAGTTGCCAGAGGCTGGCCGGCCGCCGGTGAAGCTGGAGCCGCGGCGGGTTCCAAAGGTGTTGCCAAAGCCACTGGAAAGGCCGCTGGGGCCGTAGGCGCCGCTGCCGCCCAAGGTGTAGGGGGTCTGGTCGGCGGCAGCGGCAAGAAGCTCGCCCAGGCTGCGGTGCGCGCTAGGGCCTTGCGCCAGGGCGCCCGGACCCAGGAGCACGCAGAGGGCTGCACGGTGGGGAGATGGGGTTGCGGGCGTTGTTAGACAAGGGGGTGCTTCAAAGGGGGAAGGATGAAGGTCGGAGGGACCGCCCGCGATATGCCCAGCCAAGCGGTGCTGTGAAGGGCAACCTTATCAACCAGCGGCTGCGCATGCTGGTTGACCCCCACGGGCTGGCAGCGGAGCGCTGCTCATGTGGCGCTGGTGTTCACACCTAGCAGTGCGAGGGCGAGCGGGCAAGCCATGTCACAGGCGTGACGAGTTGTTATGTATCCTTCGAAGTGTGACTATCTGTTTGCGAGTGGCACGGTCGATGTCCAGAGGTTCGAGGGGACGAAATCGGCTGATCGCTATGATAAGGTGCAAGATTGGCTCTGAGTGGCTTGCAGGGCGCGTTGATTGATGTGCAATCCATCCACGCTTTGCTATTTAAACCAGACAGCTTACTCGGCAAGGTACTGCTGGAAGCTGCAGCGCAGGGGACTCCGCACTCCATGGGGCAGCTGGGCGACACCCAGTGACGCCTGCTGCGCAGCAGCTGCTCCTACAGTACGGCACGCGGCTTGTCCACTGCGATGGCCGTGTCAGACGGCCCATGTACAACAATGCGTATCATCTCACTCGCAGCTGCCCGGCACAAGCTCAGCGGCGCATTCCGCAGATGCCGGGCACCTGCCTCTGCCGCACAAGTTGTCCTGCTGTCTGCCGCCCACGGCGGCCCTCAGCGCCCTTGGGCCGACTCCGTTCCACGCAAGGCATGTGTCATCGTGGTGCCATTCCTGTGAGGCCCTGGGAGGGAGGGCGCAGCCTCACCCGTTGCTTGGTGCGCACGCAGTGCTTGTGAGCTGCGCGCCCCATCTAGCTGGCCCCCTTTGACGCCCACACCTCTTCATAAATGGGACTAACTTGAAGCTGGCTGGAACTACCAGTAACCAGTAACCATATAGAAAGTGAAGTGAAGTTGATTGATTCAACGGAAAAAGTGCGGGCTGCGGACACATATGCGAAGGCGCAAAGCAAGCTGGGCTGGTGGCCCTGCAATTGATGGCGCCCCATTTTGCAAAGGCAAGTGTGGACTAAATAATGCGCAAGCAGCACGTCTTCCTACTGGAATCAAATAGGCAGGGCGCTTTCCCGCACACATGCCTACTCTCAGCTGGCACGCCGTCTGCAGAATGCCATGGCAAGCCCTTTTTGTCTGCAGGTGACAGCGCCCGCCCTGCGGCCCCCGCCAGCCAAGCGCCGTGGCACACCCCGGCTCGCGGCGCCTGGCGTGTGTGCTTGCATGCACGGCGTCCGATCACCCCTCCGCAGCAGCGCACGGCCGAATCCCAGTGCATGCCTGGTCGGATGCCGCTAGCTGGTTGGAGTATAAACAAGGAACGCAGCAGCCACCGAATGCCTTGCACCATTTGGCCGGCAGAGGGCAGTTGGCAAGCGGGAGGGGCGCGGTCGCTTTGGCGGCAGCGGTCGCTTTGGCCAGGGGTAGCAGGCTGACCGCAGGCGTTTAGGGGCCGAGTTGACAAGCTGCTCCTTGAACTGCGGGTCCAAGCTGCTTGACAGTGTCAGCCACTATGAAATGGCCGTTGACTGCCTACCGACCTTGTGGTGATCTGCAGCTTGGGCCCAGCCGGCCGCGAAGCCAGGGAACAGGACCTGGCGCAGCTTACTGATGCAAACAGCAGCAGCAGTGTTGGAATCCGATAAGCACGTAACTGTGAAGGCACGGCGGCTTGGTTGACAGGTATGTGGGCCCTTGACCAGGATGCCCCTTCTCGGCATGGCCCTTGGATTACGCCCTTGTACGAGGATGTCGGCAGTTGGTGGCATGCTGGCAGTGGCAGGGCCACGTCATGCTGAGTGTAGAAACAAGGTGCAATACTCATTGTTCAAGTGCCAGTGCTGTGGCACGGTTGATGCGTCATCTGATCGAGTCACCCTCAGCAGGGAAGGGGGGGAGGCGGCGGCCCGTGTAGCTCGCCAGCAAGCACTGAGCTGATTGCTTTACCACGCATTGCCCCGCCATATCGCCATTGCCATTGTTTTCCACCCCCGACCCTCCCTAGTGCAGGCCGTATACACTGCTAGATTCGTTCACCGTCGCAGCTTGAGCTAGATATATCTCGTATCTAGGGTCCTCGGATTCCATTTGCGGTACCGGCTGCCCCTACATACTGACCAGCGACACACAGTAAGCTCCGTTCATTCATCTTCAGTTCTTCGGCTGAGCGGGTGAGCTTAGGCTTGGCGCCGAAATGGTCTCGAAACGGCGTCGAATCACACATGCCTGCCATCCTCGACAACAGCACCTACTACCGTCATCAAACTTCCTTGCAGCATGAACCTGCTGCTGATGTCGCCAGCGGCTCGGCCGCCGCCGCTCTCGCCGCTGCTGCTGCTGCTGCTGCTCCTGGCCGCTGCTCATGCCGCTGCTGCCGCCGTCACATACAACCCCGCGCTCTGGAACCAGGTGCGTTGTATGCATTGCTTTGCTCGGAGGTCCCATCTTGCAGTGAGCATGCATCAACATCAACATCAACAGCACTTACACTCGCCTCGGTCCAACCACCAACCATCCAATGCCGACCGGCATCCGACAGTTCACTAGATACTCGGCCGCTGGCATCCCGGACACGCTCATGTTCCCCTCCCCGGCCTCAGACAACGGGGCCGTGCCGCTATTTCCCCTGGATAACGGCTGGGATGTTCAGGTACACAGAGCACATGCGCGCGCTCGCACGCGCGCGCGTGCACGCACGCACGCACGCACGCACATAAAAACGGTTTGCACGCGCACACACGCTTGCTCAATGCCCAAAAAAAGCGCGCATAATGTGGAAGGCACGTTGTCTGTCTGCGCGCTCGCCCCCAACGCAGCTGCACACTCCTGCGCCGCCATGGCGGCTGGCCAGCCGCCCCAGCCCTCGGCCGCCCTGCTCTACTCTTCCCTGTACTCTTGAATGGCCCCACATCGCACACCCCACCTCGCCCCCCCCCCCAAAATAAAACGTTGCCTGCTGCAGACGGCATGCGCCGGGCCTAACCGGCCGTTTCCATCTCCTCAGGCCGCGCGCCTGCCCGGCGCCTGCGAGTACGAGCCGACAGGTGATCCACACACGACAGGCCTAGTCATCGTCATTTCGCAAAGCCCCGTGACGCCAGTCACACGGGCGCTTGTTGATTGGGGCGCAACGCTGCCTTTTCCAAGTAGAACAAACATTTTTTGCCGAGCGTTGCTGTGGTGGGACCTGACTTGCCAAATACTTGCTGCTGATGCTTTAGTGCCTCCGCACCCCACCTTTGTTCCACAATCACAACGCTCCCCCGTCGTCCAACCCGCCCTGGACAGACAGCCACACTTACCACTTCTGGCAGGTTCGTGCGCCCCCAACGCAGCTGTCCCCTCAGAGCGGTCTGCTGAACGTTGCACTCTCACCCGAGACCGCCTCAAGAAAGCCTGCTTGCTGGCCGTCACCCCATTCCGATCGCCCTGGGCACTGACAAGCACAATGTCGCCTGTGGACAGTCGAAGCACCCTTGCCACAGTTATGCCAGCCCCGCCCCAACAGGAGGGCGGGCGGCAGCCCCGACCGGTCCACCGGCGCTCATTGGCAACCCGCTGGCCCCCGCCGCCCCACGCACAACCCCAGAAGCTTCCAGGCGACCGCATGCGCCTGTCAAACTGCTACTGCTACGCGGTCGACCGCTTTGAGGGCGCATGGTGCGCTCGCCTCGCTGCCGCAATCTCGACCCCGCCGATTGGGCATGATCACTTGGGTCTGCTCCCCTCACTCCACAACACCCCTCTGGGCCTCAGCAGCACGCCACATCAGCATGTCCTGTGCTGGCCACGACAAAACATCCCCTCACAATGTTGCCAGCTTCAAGGGGAAAAATCTGTGAAAACAAGGAAAGACCTTGGGTTTCGATATGCCGGTCAGTGCGTCTGTCGACCTTGCCGGCACGCCGCCTCGCTGGCACGATGACTCACAGGTGCTTCCCCGGTCTCGGCAGCGGCCTAGGAGACCTCCAACAAAACACTCTCTCCTGCGCGGACCTTGCCACGCGCGTCATCGCCGACGGCGGCGCCCCGGCGCCGCGCGCCGACGCGGTCGGCGGCCCCGCCGCGCCGCGGGGCGGCGGCCACTATGTGGCTCTGTTCATGCGGCCCATGGAGGCGTGCAGCTTCCCCCA